TTCACACCGAAACACCAAAACATTTTACCACTCACAGATGACTGATCATCTTGTAAAAACAACACGTGAGGGTCTGGGATATAATAAGATGGTGAGTGAACTGTCGGTTCTCGTAGTTGATGTCTTGGATGCGGGAGAAAAACCTGCAGGCGGGCGCAAAAACCTGACTGACTTTGACAAGAGACAAATCTTTAAGTCCAGAAACCTGGGTCGGACCAAAGCTTTTGGGGTGCTCCTGGTCAGCAGTGGTGAGTACCTACCAACTGGGGTCCAAGGAGGGACAAACCATGAACCGGTGACTGGTATTGGGCCTCCCGAGGCTTATCAACGAGAGCAATGAAGACAATCCCATCTGGTCTGAACTGACAGAAAAGCTAAGTCACAGAAGTTCGATGGTTAACGGAGGAATGGGTCACAACACCCAGCGCGTCTCACCCTGCTTTGTATGGGGCTGCATAGCTGTAGACCAGTCAGAGCACCCATACTAACCCCTGTCTACCAGCAATAGTGCCTACAATGGGCATGCAAGCGTAACAGGACCTCAGAGCAATGGAAGAAGGTTGCCTGGTCCGATGAGTGCTGTTTCCTTTTTTAACATCTTGTTAATGGCCGGCTATCTGTGCACCGTTTACCTGGGGAAGCAATGACACTAGGATGCACTGTGTGAAGAAGACAAGCCAGTGGAGGGAGCATGATGCTTTGGGCAATGTTCTGCCAGGAAACCCTGAGCCCAGGTGCTCATGTGGACGTATATTTGACACGTGGCACTTCGATAAACATTGTTACAGACTAGGCTTATCCCTTAACGGCAATGGCATTCCTCGAATGGCAGCGGCCTTTTTCAGCTCTGCCACACTGCACACAATTTTCAGGAATGGTTTGAGGAACGTCATAAAGGATTCAAGGTGTTGCCCTGACCTTCAAGTTTTCCAGATCTTAATCCGATCAAGCATCTGCAGGATGTGCTAGAACAAAATTTCAGATCAGCAGCAGCTCAACTTCGCAACTTACAGGACTCAAAGGATCCGCTGCTAACATACTGGTGCCAGATACCACAGGGCACCTTCAGAGAACTTGTCCATGCCTTGGAGGGTCAGAGCTGTATGCAGAGGACCAACAGCATATTAGGTAGGTGGTCATAATGTTTTGGCTCATCAGCACACACACACACACAAACACACACACACACACACACACACACACAAACACACACACACACACACACACACACACACACACACACACACACAAACACACACACACACACACGTTAGGAATTTAAGACAGTTTCTGCTTTTTTGATATTTAACAACTGAGAATTAAAAATAATTTTTGACCATTTTTTTGCGTTGATTACAATAATCTCACATTGGTAAGGTCCTGGTATAAAATGCAGGAGATTTAGAGATGAGATTCTCTGCTATTCACCCAGGACTGGATAAATGAGCTCAGATACAACTGAGACTCTGAAATAGACCATGCTGCAATTTACCTCGCCTCTACAGACACAATAACAGGAGATATTTCTGAGCTAAGTGCTGCGCTGTGTTCCCAATATGAGCTTTAACCAACAAACTGTCTGTAGTAAGAGCAGCCTAGTTTGTCTTGTCCAATTTCACCATCATTGACCACTGACCGGCACCGTTTTTGCTGACCAATCTGCTAGCTCTGTGGGCTGTCATGGAACTGATATACTCAACACACAACTCGTTTTCATTCAGCCGTCTTCATTAGCATTGCATTAGCAATGCTAAATTACCTTTGAGCTGCTAATTAGCATGCCAATGCTACCATTCACAAAGCTAAATCATGTTAGCATTCATCCGGTTAATAGCGCTGTGAGCTCAAAGAGCTGCAGGAGTTTCAGGTGCTGTGTGGGGATTAAAGGACGAACTGTCTCATTATACAGAGGAAACAACCAGCGAGGACCAGAACTGAAGTCAAAGTGAATGTGTTGCTAGAGGTAATGAGTGAACTGTTAGTGATTCACACTGAGATCCTTAATTAGGGCTGGACAAAACGATGTTGTAACAGGTTAGAAGCAATGACAATCTCTCATGTTGGGAAAAACTGAACAACTACATAGGCCAATTTTATTTTAAACAGCTTCCCAATCAATATTAAACAACATTTACATTTACTATTGTAATATATTTTGAGTTTTATTGTTATTTACCAAAGATGATTAAAACAATGAACAAGCTATGAGGCTGAAGTAGAGCCAATTTCCTACTGTCTCTGCTGTTAGTTTTCAGAACATGCTCTCAATAAATTTCTAAGCAGTTTTTATACAACTTAAGTGTTCAGATGAGCTGCAAGTTTATGAAAATATATTTCTTCTTGATTTCCCACAGCTATCAGAGCTCATGGGTCTAGCTTGTAACTCACTAAACAACTGACTGACTAAATGACTGACTAAGTGACTAACTTACTAAATGACTAACTGATCGACTAATTAATGAACTCATAAACTGACCAAATAACTGAGCAACTAACTGAGCAACCACCTGACTGACTTATGGACTGACTAACAAACCTACTGACTAACTAACTGAATCACTAACTAATGGACTCACAAACAGACTAAATGACTGATCAACTAATTGACTAATCGATTAATTGAGTAACTGATTAACTTGACTAAATGACTAACTAAAGAAATCACTAAATGATTAAGTAACTATCTAACAGATGACTGACTAACTAACTGATTCACTAACTAATGGACTCACAAACTGACTAAATGACTGATCAACTAATTGACTAATCGATAATTACTGTAACTGATTAACTGGACTAAATTACTAATTGAGGAATTGACTGAATTATTAAGTAAGTAACTAACAGATGACTGACTAGCAAACTTACTGATTGATTCACTAATGGTCTCACAAACTGACTAAAAGAGGGACCAACTAATTGACTAATTGAGTAACTGAGTAACTGACTAACTTGACTAAATGAATAAATAACAATCTAACTAACAGATGACTGACTGGCTGAAACTTACTGACTGACTAATGGACTGACTAAATGACTGACTGACATACAAACTTACTGACTGACTGACTGATTCACTAATGGACTCACAAACTGACTAAATGACTGACCAATTAATTGACTAATTGACTAACTGAGTAACTGATTAACTTGACTAAATGATCAATTAACTATCTAACTAACGGATGACTGACCGACTAACCAATTAACTAACTGTCTGATTGACTAACTCACTGACTAAACAATTAACTAACTGATGAACTAAATCATTAATTAAGTAACTGATTAACTCAAACATGTTTAGAAAGCTGGAGATTCTCCAAAAAGGGTGGACAACAATGAAATCCATAATTTTCATATTTTAACAAGAACATATTGTGATAATGATGTTTAGACCTTGCCTAGCCCTCCACTGTGTCTGGGGACTCTGGGCGCTCTGAATTCAGTTGTTTTTCTGAGGATGAGAGTTGCTCCAGGGCTGTGTGCTCGATGTTATTAATTACCAATTATCTGCCACTCTTCTCTTCTCTGATTAGCATTATGAGCATATGAATGCCATCTTGTCTCGGAAACAAAGAACACACAAAGACACACGCCCACACACAATTGAACACGTAGATAAATGAACTGTCAAGAAGCCTAACATTGCAGTTTCATTACATTGCTGCAGCTGTTCTGTGAATACAGGCCTAATACTGGCTTAAAAATAAAAAAATCTATCAACTGAATAACAACGTTCTCAGCATTTCATTACTTTCTTTCAAACGCTGATATCACCTGCTAACTTCTCCATGACCTCGACACTGATTGCAGCTTGCAGCTCGACTATGGCCATGACACATGACAGAATGCAGTGCACAATATTTCAACAACTGGACTGTTAATCCTATTTGCATGAGATTAAAATGGAAATGTAGCCTCAGACCTTCACACCAAGTATACTATGAACCCAAATGTTTGGGTTTTAAACACTTTCTGTAGCACTTCAGAAAGATGTGACAGTGTTCACTTGGGCTGTAACCACAACTGACAACAAATAAACCCAATAGTCATGTTTTTATTTTTAAAAATATGTATTTTCTTCATTAAAGGAACCATATCTTGTACACACTTGTTCCTGTATGTTACTGTTGCCCCAAAGATACAGTTATAACTTGTGTGGGTTTATGTACCAAATTGGCTGTCCTGTATTGTGCCTTATTCTAATAGCACTAATGCTAATACACTCCTTATAACTTCAATATGAATGGGCGGAGCTAAACTGCTATAGGCTGAATTGGACATGCAGTTGTTGATTTTCCAGGTAAAAATAAATTAACACATCATCTACAGGAAACATTATTATTATTATTATTATTGCCCATTCTAGTGCTATTTATTTCTATGTATTGCTGTGTGTAGCATATTGGAAAAAAAATAAAACATAAATCATAAAATGTGCCACAATATTTACACAGGTATATTATGTTAAATTCAACAAATAATGACCGTGCATTAAAATGTGCACCAGTGCGATCTTAGCAGAGGATGTGTTAAATTATTATCATTTAGAAAATCAACAAAATGTTTAATTTAACCAGGGAAGCCCAAACTTTGACATACGACTGTATGCAAATGTATTGGTAATCATGACATCACACAAACAACAGTTTCAAAACTGTATTTTCCCAGCATAGTTTCCATATATTGAGGACTGATTGGTACGTTTTGAAACTATAACAATGTTTACATACTATTTCAAGCTCCTTATTCCAAAAAAGCAAGGGAGCTCTGGTTTTCATGATATGTGGCTTTAACATTGATACAATATAGACAACACACGACTGTCTGAAAATAAAGCGCTTTCTTACTGTCAATCTTTACCCAATTTCTAAAAATTGTGATGTATTTAAAAAGTATTAATAAAAAGTGTTTTAAGTCAAACAAAAACATTGGAAGTTCTTTTGCAGTACAAGATGAGTGGGTACTACAAAACCACAGATGTGCACACATGGGCGTACCTGGTGTGGCTGTTGGAGGACAGGCTCTCCCAGGGCTGGACGCTGCAGCCTGTGACGGAGAATGCGGCTCCACAGCTGCCGTCCAGTCTGCCTAGGAGGTCTTTAGCTGCGTTCTCTGCTGTCTTCCTGCTGTCATGAGCTCGCTTCAGGACCTGCGTGATGCTCTCCTCAGCACCCTGCTCTCCTATGAGACATAACAGTCACGGCCGAAGCTGTTAATACACAGTTGTGGACAGTTGTCCCTGTATTACCGTGCAGCTGTCCATCAGAGAACTACTGAGGCATTACATTATATTTAAGCCGGGGTTACACTACACAACTTTTACCCCAATTTTAGGCTCGATTCTCAGTCTGGCCGAGTCTGTTCTAGTTGGCTCTAGTCTGCAGATTTTTGGGTCAGTCAGAGTTGACAGTCAGAGAGAGAGTCAAGTCGTGTGTGAGGGGTGCAGACTCAGATATCTGGCCTCCCGATTGCGTTTCAGACCAGTCAGAGTTTATCAAACGTCTGATCTTTTTGACCCGACTCTGAGTGTAATCTAGTGTAAACTGATCAACGACTCAATCTTAGCAGATTCCTGCAACAGCCAATTACAACCGAGAGTGTGAAAGAAGAAAATACTGCAAGTAAACAAAGAGAAATGGCGAAAAGTCACTCATGTGTGGAGCGAAGCTTTTTAATGAGCCGAGTTTAAGGCACAAGCACAACTGAGTTTATGGACGTTTAAAACTCTAAATAATACCAAACCGATCACATTTTAAATCCATGAGCCACTTAAACTGTTTACCTGCTGCTTCTTTACTGTGTCAGTACAAACGGCAGAGAAAACCGCAGCAGCAGCAGCTGCTCCATGCATGTTTGTTTATTTGGGTCTTTCAGTAACGGGGGAACACGAGAGTTCAGTGAGTTCCGTTCGGTTCAGCAGCAGCTGAAAAGTTGAGTAGTGTGTGATCCCTAATCGTTTAGTTGGGTTAAGAAACATTGATGAGATATTTCTGTGTCAAATGAACATGTTGGAACGTCATCCACTGAGGAGAAAGGTCTACTGTAGAAGACAACAACTCCTCAACAGCATCCAGTGTTGCTCCTCAAGCCTCCAGCGCACAAACTTGTTTTTCTTTGGCTGTTTTTAAATACTAAAACATTTTTTCATAGTATTCCTCTGCGTGTTGCAGCATTTTTGGGCTACTGATTTTCTTAGCATCTTAACACCAACGCTAAAAAGTACGTCTACAGCCCTACAATACTTTTGACTAAAGTCTGTTTTCTTTTTTCCTTTCTTTTCTGTTTTTTTTTCCCCCTCTGTGGTTCATTCATTAACGCTTACGGATCCTCAAATAACACAATTAGCCAGTAAGAGCATCCTTAGTTTAGGCATGCAGTTTGCACAATGCTCATTAGTGGCGTAAGCTCTCCGTACATGTTAGCTACTAGAGAAGCCACCAAACAGATGTCTTGGCTTACTGCTTGATCTGGGTAAGACTTGGGTACACTTTACGACTTTTAAAGTCTGAACAGATTATAAAAAGACTGGGCATCTCACACCATCTGGCTTTTGCAGATTTTTTTGGGCGACGGAAATGTTAGGGATCACAAACTAACAGGTAAAGTAGTCAGCATAGACTAGCTATCACAGAAGTAACACTAGAGCTGAACGTGCTCCATCGAAGCTGAAAAATAAGACAGTCACATGTTACAGTCCTGTAAAAGAGAAAATCTGTGTTAGCCTGTATATCACGGCTGTCCAAAGAAACCAGCAACTCCAACTGTCCATCTCCTAAATGGCAACTTTACAGGAGAGTGCAAAAACGTTCTTTAATTTTAATGTATGTTAATGTAAAGAGATTTTATTCCAAGTAAGACTGGGGGCGTTCAAACTTTTGCTTACGACTATATGTATGTGTACTCACCCATAGTGCTGACTCCAGCAGCTCTAAACTGGCCGAGCACAAGACCCTGTTCACTCTCCGCCAGAGCCAACAGCAACTCATAGGCCTCAATACACTGCTCACTGCAACACAACACAGAGGGAGAACTTAATACACATTTACACTCAGTCATATACACACGCTTCTACACACACACACACACACACACATACACATGCATGCAAGGACACGGCACACACAGAAGGAATGTGCTGGCCAGGGCAGCTCCTTCAGTTCATACTGAGCGGCTGAGGAGGTGCTGATGTGTGTACAGCGGCCCACAGCAGGCCAAAACAAGCCCAAATCCGACAGGACAGGAAACCCCACTGAAATCAGGAAAGACTCTGGAGCTGCAGAACGCTATTGTTTGGTTAGCCGCGGACGACTTCTGAGTTAAAATAAACAGGGGGATTTATTCACTGAGCTGAGCAGGTCAATACAGTCCCAGTCAAAAGTTTGGATACTCCTGACTGAAAGCAGTAATGTGCAAAAATTTTCCCCAAGAAAATTCTATCTAAAAGGCTGGTAAATAAGCATTTGTGCGCATGGAAGAACAGTAACATTTGAATAAATACAAATTTGATATATTTATGTGCATGTTAACCATTTCCAAACCTCTTTTGTAAGAAGCCCAAGCGTCAGTGTCACATTATACATGGTTTGGCTACCCACTTGTTGATTAACTCAGATTAGTCACGCTTTTCAGATCAGTAATGAGTAAGCAATATTATAGTAATATTATTAATATATAAGGTAACATGCTATGTCTGTAAATCATACTGTGTCTGACCGTTTAAAGACATAATAGGTAAGAAACAAAGTAGAAATGAGCAAATTTGTATTTTACAACACTAATGCTACATCATTTTAGCAGAACTACTGCACTGTTTTGGGTTAATGACCCAAAAAATATAACATACTATAAGGATTTAAAAGAACTTACCAAATCCCTGGCTAATAATCAGCTCAAGAGATCATGTACTTTATACAATTAATTATGTATTTAAAGGAAGGAATTAAGCATTTCATCTTCGGATAGGTTTGCACTTGTTCCATTTTCCACACCTTCAAAGTTCAGTCTTGGACGTTGGTTACATTTTTTGATCTCTCACGATTCAAGTAATTTTAAACACGTCCAGTCCATTGTTTTGAACTACAGTTTTAAAACTTATTGGACAGTCTTACAACTAATCTTCTAAGAACTATCTCCTAAAATTGGATAGCTTGTACTTCATGGCTGTTTTGACTGAATGAAGAAATGAAGGGAAGTCTGAAACATTAGCACAGCACTGCAATTGTATAAGACTGATATGATGGTCAGTTGTCGAATGTGTTGTCGAAACTCAAAAGCAGAAACTCAAAAAGTTTTAAATAATATAAAACACCACAGCACTGGGAGCTTTGTAGCCTTCCTGTTGGTATGGTAATTAGTTTTTCTCTCATTTTTCATCAGTTCATTTCACCTAATTTTGCATTCTTATGCATCTTTTATTACTTTAACCTTGACGGTGTCCTGTGTTTAAGTTATCCAGTTCAGCATTGCTCCAATAAAGGTAGGTAGTGGTGGTGTAAATATATGAGACCAATAAAATCTTCAATACAATATAAAACAAGCAACTTCAAAGTAACATTTGTGCTTCATCAGCCAGATTTCTGCTGATACCAACAAAAACACAGAACCTTATTATCAGCCAATTTACAGGCCAACATATCCGATATCCAGGCCTTATTATAAACACAAAAGCACACTGACTATACTGTAGCAGTGCGGTGCAGAACCCTTTGGTTAATGGGAAATTTTATTAAATACATGTGTGGCTCATTTTAGACATTCCTGGAACACTGATCTGAGGTCAGATTACAGCTGTTTGTACTGATGTGGAGGATGATGGTGTGGGTGCTGAAAGCTGGTTTTAAATCAGTGATTTTTATTCAGCCTTGTATACTCAGGCCACAGAGTCAAGTCTAAACTGGCCAAGTCTGTGTCAAGCATGAGCCGGTGATTATACGGTACCCGCTGCCACGACACTGACACAAGCAATCAGTTCACCATGAACAGTGCCTCTCTTTCCTTTGCTCACTCAGTGTCTCTCTTTTCTGTTCTGTCCTTTTCACTCACACTTTCCTCTGTGTGGGAAACCCCCTGAAATGCTGACCACATTAACAACCCTGAAACTGCTGTTTATCTAAGCTTGGTGCATGTGTGTGTGTGTGTGTGTGTGTGTGTGTGTGTGTGTGTGTGTGTGAAGGGTTTTGTACATTTCAAGCAACGTTTTTACCAAAGCTGCAGGGTTCATCTTGTTCATTACTGAGTTTAAGGTTAGGTAAGGCTTATTGTACAGAGACCTACAAAAATTCATGATGAATGAAGCAACAGAAGAGTTCTAAAATCGCTTTAAGCGCATCAACTTACATTAACTTAATTTACATTAACTTGCATTAGAAGTTATGGTAACACTTTCTATGAATGTCACCTTTGTAAGCATCTATAAACACATTTATAACATGTTATAATGTATTCATAAGGCACGTTTATTATACATTATGAGTTGTTAATATAATCCATTATAAATAGTGTTAATAACATGTTATAATGTCAGTGCCAAAGAAGTCAGTCCCAGCTTGGAGAGTGTAAAGTAAAGACAAATACCAAGCTAACGGTGGTGTACATTACCTTTCCCACATTGGGTAAAACACTGATGGCAGCTCTAGTTTAAACTCTGACATTTGAAGCCTGTAATGTGCTTTATTGTGAATGTTTTAGTGTTTCAGTAAATCCTTCAGTAAATACTTCAACTTGAAGCCTCACTCTTAACACTGGAGGAGGCTTTAGTACAGTACGCTTCACTTTACTTAGAGCGGACAAATACAACTTATGAGCTCTTATAATTTGTTAACAATTCATAATGCATAATAAACATGGCTATAAAGTATAGTGCATTTTTATAAATATTTATAGCTATGTTTATAATGTCTTATAAATGTATTATAAAATGTTATGAATGTGTTTATAGATGCTTACAAAGGTGACATTCATAGAAAGTGTTACTGAAGTTATTAGGTTTTTCCTCTCCAGTAAAGCTACAATTGTGGAGGTACAAGGTTTTGTTCAGACAGTGATGATCTATACAAAACATAAGGGACATATGGCATGTAAGGATATTTACGAATACACACACACACACACACACACACACACACACACACACACTATTCACTCTTAAGTTTGTTTTCCATTTAAAAGTAGTGCATTTTGTTATAAAGAACAAAATAAACATTACCAGAATGTATTTATTACTTTATATAACATTATTTTCATCATGTGAACACGAACCTCTACCTGAAAATCACATGATTTCCACACAGAGTAAACACAGCTCCTACTTTTCATCACCACGGTCCAGTGAGAACAACAGTCGCTACATGTTCCAACCAGTGAGTGTACATATCATATATACAGTCAATGGTTCAACTCTCCTTCATACAGCTTGTGAATTCTTGTTACAGTGGAGGGGAAACTGGAGCTTTCCACTGTGCTGCTGCTTTTGTTTGTTTGGTGCTCACTGATTTATCCACAGGTCTCTTGCTAGCTCTGTCCAGCGTAGACTGCTGAAGGTTTTCTTTAAATGCCATTCAAAAGCAATATTTGAATGAGAGAGCTACAATCGCGGATCCTATCACAGCAACATACAGTGTGCTGCAGCTGGGCTTCAGTCTGCACTACGGATGGTCTGAAGGCTTCAAAATAGGAGAACGCAATAACAGTACTAAACAGTACTAAAATCATACTCATCGTTACTTATCATATTAATGTATTATTAACACGTTAACTTTGATAGCTCGAAATATTATGTACCTAAATATATGTAATACATATCAAACATACTGAACACATACACTAAATATTGGGACATGGTATTATTAAATATAGGTACTTTCCCCTTTAACATATATAGATTTATTACCACTGTCGGAAAAAAAAAACATCTTTCCATTTTTGTTGTTTTTCATATTTAAAATTTACTAGAAAATACCAGCTGCTCTTTACATTGTGTGCAAATTTCATGATCAATTTACCAACAAAAATGGTGAAAAATCTCTTGACATTAATTTGAGAATGTTTTTCCCTTCTCCTGTAAATTCACCATTTGAGAGATATGAGGCTTTGTTCCAACGACAGGTATGACCCCATATCCTGATACTGCGTAAAAACAAACCAGGGTATGTGTGTGTGTTTGCATGTGTTCTGTTTTCTGAACCCATGATTAATCGGCAGGCTTTATGAGCTTGGCGCCGTCTCTGTCTTTATGAGGGTTTGCCGGGACCCACCCCCAGCATCCCTCCACCCTTCATAATGAAAATCACTCTTCTCTCCTCCCTTCCAATCCCTCCAGCAAACTGACATCACAGCCACCAGGGACAAAATTCAATCAAAGCCCGCGACCTTCTGCCTTACTGCGAAACAAAAAGCCAAACGCAGATGGTTCAGTCTGGATCAGGATTTGGTACGATCCACAACAGCACTGCACTGTATCTGGCTCCTCACTGAGTTTGGGAATAATTCTATTACATATATACTGGATGACCAGTGTATCATATATAGTATTATATGATATAAAATCCTGATGTTTATTCTTATTGGGAGAAATTCCACAGATAAAACCTCAATGTTGGCCTTAAGTTGCGTATTTTTTTATTATACTGCAATACACCAACCGGCCACTACATTAAGTCCTTGTTTCTACACTCGCTGTCCATTTTATCAGCTCCACGTACCATATAGGTGCCCTTTGTAGTTCTACAATCACAGACTGTAGTCCTTCTGAGTTATGAGGCTATGAAGAGGGCTTGAGAAACACATCTGCCTCTTAACACGTGTAACTGGTGGATTCGTGTCCATCTACATTTTGTCTAAACTGACCAATGGACACTCAGGAAATCACTAAGGATGTCAAAAACCCTTCATTCTTCATTCAGTTGACATCAGAGACAAGTGTGAAATGGCGTGCAAAAGGTTTACAGCCACTGAAGTTGCTACAGCTAGTTTTTGGTAAGTAGTGATGAAGATAACGGAGCATTTTGATATAAAACAAGGGTATCATGTTATATGCAAGTGCTTTTGGGTTTTTGCATATCTTTAAGAAGATATGCAAAAACCCAGAAAACGCCCTCACCGGGTTAAAAATCTGCAAAATTTTGAATCGGTGGAGCCCTGATAAATTAGCAGGAAAAAATGAAAAGTAAAGCCTGCAGCTGCGGCCTTGACTAAATAGTGGAAATTCAGTTAGCTACAGTCAAACTCAGGAACTTGGAGGCAGCCAAAGTGAAGTGTTTCCGGAACGTTCTGCAATTAGCAGAGATGTGCGATGTGTTTTAAAGCTGCCTTTTGTTTTTTCGACAGCTGCACTGGAGCAGTGAAGCAGAGCCGAGCTCTGATGAAAAAATAGCTAAGGGCTGATATCAGAGTTTAGCGGGTATCAGATCTCAGGAGGGCGCGAGGTGAACAAAAACTCACACACACACACACACACACACACACACACACACACTCGTACACTCACAAAGCACCCTGATGAGCCAGGTTCTGTTTATGCTAATGCTAATGCAAATTTGTGCCACTGAATGTGCCTCCTAGAGACATTAGCCTCTACAAACAGCCAAAAGTGTCCATCATCTTCTCTGAAGCTCCGTAATGAACAGCACCATCATTAAATAAACACTGCATCTGAGCCTATTAATTACAGCTAAAGCTGACTTCTTAACATGATCCTATTACTAATGGGAGCTAAATGGAAGTCAGCAAAGCCAACATCATGGCCTGTCTTACAAAAGAGACTGAAAAGCAGATGAAAGCGTATTAATTTGTCCTTTAAGAGGATCCTTTTTCGCTTTTCTCAGGGTTCATCTTCTCTGTCATTCTTTGAAAAGCATGACCTACGGTACTGTGTAGAAGTCAGAGGGGACATTTTAATGTATTTAATTCTCAGTTTAATCAGCATTTAGAAAATTATGCCTCAACAACTAAATATAATATGAGGTTTTTCAGTATTTCACCTTTGCCTTTATTACAGCTTCTATTCTTTTCAGGAGACTCGCTTTCAGTTTTCCAAAGAAATCTACAGGGATATTTTTTCCACACCTCCAAAGTTCAGTCTTAGAAGTTGACTGCATTTTCAGTTTGGACTCTGGGGTGGACGGGCCATTATTCTGAGAACACCAGCAGCTTCTTTGTTTGATTTGCAAATGTTCTTCCTTTTCCCAGTAAGGCCTCCTTCACAGCTACAAATCCTTTCAAGATATATAACACTGAGTTGTCTTCTCACAGTGGAAGGATGCACAGAAACACCTGTGGATTTCTTCAGATCTGAAGCAGCTTGAGCTCTATGTACTGTTTATCTTATGGCGTCAGTTTTGGTGGTCTACCAGGTCTTGCAGGTGGTTGTTAGGAGTCTCATTTCTTGTATCCAGTTTTGAAAAATCTTGTTTTTCACTTATTTTGATTTACCTTACCTTTATCTAAGCAGATTATCTATATGTCTCCTCAAAAATGTACAACTCTAAAAATGTATAACTCTACTTACTGGCTGTTTTGACTGGAAGTGTAATATATGAGGGGTGGGTTCTGAGGTTTGCACAGTACAGCACAGGAGGGCCAAAAATACACCGACATTTGTATAGAACCCACACAAACACACTCACATATACATACAGAAAGGTAGTCAAATGTCACAGAATCATGCTGGAAATCTTCCTTTCCTACACACACACAGCACACATGTAAGAGCTGGCTCATCTGTATGCATGCTGAGGAGTTGTGTAGTGCAAGAAACAGCAGAAGGTAAGGACAGACAGGAGCTGCTTAAGACAATGGGTGCAGCGTTCAACACTGTAGCACAGCTAAAAAGACAGCCAAGTAAATAAGGCTGAGTATCTACACAGGTAACAAGGCAGTAGGGCTGTTTGATACTAATAACAAAAATACTGCTATTGTGACAAAATACTAGTTTTCTGATAAACTGCTACACATTGCAACCGCGAAATATTTTGCTGTACACTACAAACGCACTGATGATTCAATAATGTAACGTTACTGATTAAAGACGTTGCCTAATTATTTTGACCAAATTAGTTTACATTTGTTGGTTCTAAAGAAGGCATTAGAAAAAGAGAACGCCTTCAGTGATCCTGTGAGTAAATCTAAGAATACTCAGAGACCGTGTAGCTCAACATATTTACAGTTGGAAAATGAGACTCTCCTAATGTTGTTGTTGTCATTGATATTATAAAAGCTATTAAAGTTGATATGGCCCAAGTAAGGTCCATTAAACTGTATTTTTAAACTGTTCTTCCCACGTTTATAACAACACAATTAAAGAGAAATTCCACAGATTTTTGAAAATTCCTGCATTATTAAATAATTAAGATGTAAACAAAGCCATTCAAAGTGGTTTGATGTGAAATGCTCCCTTCTAGAGAAATTAGAATTACTCATTGTGGTGATAGGAACCAGACTATATATATATAGACATTGTGACACCTCATTCTAATCACTTTATACTTTTATTTATAGCACCTTTATTTTTACAAATGTGGGCATTATACAACGTCAGTCTAGTCCTAGATTCTTTAAAATAAAGAGCTGACAAGCAAAAGTTTGAGTGCCCTGGTTACTGATTTTCTAAGTGGAAAAAAAAGGACACATCCTCTACAGAGAACACACAATTTTAATGCACAATGACTGTTTATTTGCTTAAATTAACATATTAGGGGAAAAAAAAAAATCATTGCCTTTGCAAAAGTTATGGCATATTTTATATTCATGTTTTTCCAATATGTTCAACTCAACAAATAGTAATTGTGCACTAAAGTTTGCAGACAAATGTCATGTTTAAGCTTGTTCCCTATTCGTGTTAACTTATTTTCACAGAACATGTAACGTAATCAGGATATTCTTTTGCATAGGACTGTTCACAGTGCAACTCTACAAGGCAGACTCGATTATGCTCAGCACTCCCTAAAAAAAGTGAATAAGGGAAGAAAAGAAAAGCTCCAAAAGTCGAAGTTGTCACTCAAATTAAAACTGGAATGGAAGTAAGTGGTAGCTGTTGCCATGCCAACCCACCTCAATCAGCATGCAGAGATTATCCTGTCAATCTGGGGACCACTGTTCAAGGATGTGTGAGTTCGGATAAAGGCCTATAGCAGTGTGTGCACGTACCTGTACTGCAGAGCCAGGCGCAGGGCGGTGGCGTTGGACTCGTATTTGCCCACTAGCATGCTCATTCTCTCTGCATTGCTCTTACATTCCTCCAGAGTGATGGTCAACAGGTCGTTCTGAGACTTCAAGTGCTCGATACGACTGCAGAGAGAACACACACACAGCCCTCAATAAGAATATTTACAAATGCCAGTATCTCCACCGAGATGACTAAAATCTGGCACAAACAAAGTCTGGCTCAGAAATCTGTCTGACTGCAATAGGGATCATTAGTAAGCCAAGCATATTTTATAGAAAAATGTTTATTAAAGGATTATTATAAAACTGATAGTTCAGGTCCCAAAATCTGATATTTAAAAATACATGTTATACGCACACCTATGACTTACACCTACAACCCTAACCCTCACTCTGTATTACTGCGCCACATCAACGCAACCACTTTGACAGCTCAAGCCATTTGAACGTTTATACTTTTACTCTGCGCACAAACAGAAAATGGATACTTTTAAGATCACATTTGACCGACAGCCAATTTGGTCAGACTCTGAAGATCAGACTACACTAAATTCCCAAACTGTCATCACCACTGAGAAGGTTTTCAGTCGGCAGCTGTGAAAGAAGAACAGCTAAACAACCTGGAATCAGCCAGAAATGAACTAAATACCATTCTAAACTTGATATTGCGGCAGTTTTATGGCTCAGTCTGTACTTCAAAAGGCGAGGCTTACAGCAGACTGTGCAGCAAGTGACTGGAATTCGTTACTCTGACGTAGCAACAAGCTGCTTGTTAAGGAACTATAATTTGGTGAAGGAATTGCTGACATTAAAACATATTAAATACCACATTCACGGCCCAGTTTATTCATTTCTTACTTTATTTATTTAACTGTTGTATAAAAGCAATAGAACACTCGAGGCCTTTGATTCGTGCCGGCGACCAGATCACAGCCGTGATGTTATTTTGCGCTAACACACTCCTTCTCGTATTCTATTGCTTAATTAAAATTCTAGCATTGACAGCCATATAGTGCATGCATCTGCCAAGCATGGATGTGGTTGAATCTCAAATGAATAGTTTTTTAGCTATATTATGCACTACTCACAGTAGTAATTTGGTGACCAAAAAGTACTTGTGGTATCATTGCTTGGCGACTATCCACACTCTAAAGCAACTACATTTCTTGGCAGAATACTTCTGTCGATTATTATTAATAATAATTTCTTTTCTGAAAAATTGTATATTTTGTTAGATTTTATGTTGGCTGCCATTTAACTCAGTTCCAAGGGGAAAGGTGACACTCAAAAACAAGGGGTAGAGGTAAAAATAAGAAATGGGATTGGGCCTAGGTACGTCATATAGAATGAGAAAGGTGCACTTCAGTAACAAGACTGGATATGCCAACTGGTGGTTCACTTCACACCAAGGCTCTCTTAGATGTTATGATTAACGATTAAAAGAGTAACGCCCATTTGAAATGGGCAAACAAAACAGTATGACATTTCTACACTGCAGCTATGACCACTGAAAAGAGCCTAAAAGCACTGTAATCTCTGACTGACACACAGTGGAGTATTTAAATGGATTTGAGAATAAAGGCTGAAGTCTTATGCTACAGACATCTCCACTCTGCAGCTTCAGGAACCAGGGGGAACATCAGGGTGTTGATTAGTGAAACTAAACTACAGGCTTAAGTGCTAAACTCTGGCTGACTGAGGCTAAATCTTTGTGAAAAGCTGACACATGTTTTGCCTTTAATTTACTTGGACGGGGATTCTGAGGATTATGGGCGGAAAAACCAAAACATGAAACGTTCTTAAAAACCACCTGCACAGCCAGGGCCAAATAAACGCGCTCTTTCATTATGTGAGCAGGTTAGTGAGAGAGAAAGACTGGGCCATCCAGTCTCTAAGTTCAGCTGAGGGACAAGTTCATGCTGGGGGGCTATTCTGACCAAGACAGAGGTGTGTGTGTTTGTGTACATGTTAAGGATTAAACTGTTCTGACTTTGTAAAATGCTGTTTACAAAAATGTTTTCTGCTTTAAAACTGACCAACAAAGCATTTCTTTTTGGTAACTGAGGTTAAGGTCAGAGTTAAATGGAAGAATACATTTAAAAAGTCTGTTTATTTTTCTCCTTCACTGCTCCTGTCAGCGAGAGGTCAATTTTTTGTTCAAATAATGTGAGAAGTTTTAGTTACTTTGTCAAAATAGTGACAGATTTTCTCAGAATTTGACTTACTATGTCTAAACAATAACTTACTATTCTGACATAATTATTTTTCATTATTTTGACAGATCTAAATAGCTCTAAATCTTGAGAAAATAAATTTGATAAACTAAATAATTGTTTCAACATAGTAAGTCAAAACTTTGAGGAAATAAGCCATTATTCCTACTTAATAAATCAAAATCTCGAGAACATGCATTATTTCAAGATTTTTGAAGTCCAAATTGAACACAGTATTACACGTAGATATGTGTATATATGAAAGACATACATGATCTATATATATATATACATATATATCTATCTATCTATCTATCTATCTATCTATATATATATATATATATATATATATATATATATATATATATATATATTAGGGGTGCGGGAAAAACTCGATTCTTAGATGCATCGCGATGCGGACGTGGACGATTCTGAATCGATTCACAAATGTCAAAAATCGATTTTCTAAATATGTAATTTATAACGTAATGTTGGCGGAACGCAAAAGGCGGAGCTTGGAAGTGCGGAAGTGCGGCGCCCGGACAGTCTGTGACGGCACATAACAAAAACACTACTGGATGAGTGAGAAATCCGACCGGCTCCCTCTGCATTAAAGCCAGGTTAGATCAGGAGTCACAACACAAATGTTAAGAAGAGACATTTTGCCTTTCAACAAAGTCAAACCACCTCGGGAGCCACAACATTTAATGTCCAGTATGTGTTAATGTCGTAGTATGGGCAAAAATATAAACGAGAGCGCAGATTTACTTCGCCCTGCTTTAAGCTTTAGCTATAGCCGCTTTCCTCCCATCTCCGCCAGAAAACTTTTCTTCAAAACTAGAAGAGTTTCTTGTAAAATGTCTCAGCGTCCGGCTGTTTTACGAGGCTGAAGTCGCTTCTCATTCGCCAGCTTCTCGTTCTCATTTTCCCGTTCCACCTTAAATTCTGCCTTAGGCGCCGAATGTAACTGCTGCACCATTTAAGGTGGAACGGGAAAATTCGAAAGAGAAGCGAGTTCATTTTCGCAACTTTTTTTTAACTCTCGTTGCAGATTTAACCAACCGCGCTGCTTAGAAATGCGAATAAGTCCTCCAAATGTTCGTCTTAATCTCTGTTTTTTCGTTCGCTACTGGCGAGGCCAGACCTCCAGGCTATGTGACCTGCTGTCTGCTGTCTGTTCTCGGTGGTTGAGAACCAGGGCTTTCACACTATGCTGCACACTTTGGAGCCGAGATTCAGCGTCCAGTCTCGAAAATACCGAAGTTATAAGATCACTAAAGAAAACGGGAAGGACGGCTGTAACGTGCTGCGTGGACACCCATCACCACTGGATCTTATTTCAGGGTAACAGCGCATTTTATCGCAGATGAGTGGCAGCAGCATCTCTGAATGAGAGCCTTCTAGTTCACTTGCCACATCACTTCCATTTGATTTATTAATAAAAGATATTTTAGATATTTAAAGCAAAGTATTTGTAATGATCCATAATGCATTTACATTATGGATCATTACAAATACTTTGCTTTAAAACTACCAAGTCCTCAGACAGTAGGAAGATAGAAATCCTGTATAGAGAAAAAAGATGCATCGAGATGCATCGATAATCGTTTTATAATCGCATCGCAGCCCTCTGAATCATAATCGAATCGTGAGGTGCCAAAAGATTCCCACCCCTGATATATATATATATGACCCCACATTCTAACACCGTATAAAAGCAAATGTGTGCACATAATCAAAAAGCTATATCACATTACCATACAACAACAGAAGGTGCTAGACCACCTGCCTGCTTGTATTTCTATCTACACACTACAAAAAGGCAGAGAAGGGTATCTAATCCGATATCAAAGCAAAAATAAAATTAGTGACTCAGTGAGCGTGAAAGTGTGTGTTTGAGCCGCACCTGTTGAGCCGTTCTGTCTCCACCTCAAACTCGCGGATCTTGTTCTCGGAGATGGCGGAGCCGTGTGAGTAAAGCGTCTGGAAAATCTCCTGGATATTAGAGCAGTCTTGTAGAGAGTGGGCCAGGTGCTCCGCCACGTTACTCGACACCTACACACACAAACGCACAGCTTAAAGAGCAGCTTTCACAGTTAAGGCCACTTCTACAGCTTATTCATTTGGCAAAAATGTTCTTTTTGGAACCTCAGTGAGTTTCTAATACACAGATGGCTTCCTGGAACTGAGTATGTTTGTCTCCAACACAGCTCCACTGTTCTGTAGAGCACTGACAGCAGGAGTGAAGCGCTTCACAAAATTCAGAATTTGGTTCAATAAGATACAGAGATGTCTCAATTCTGTACGTTTTTCAATACAGAGTGAAGAGAATTTTTCGTAACAAAATTACTAAAATAGGGTAAAAATGTATAGAAATAAGACAGATAATCTCATATTAAAAGCAGAACCTTTCAAAATAAGAAATATTAGCCATGTCGACTAGAATTAACATAATTTCACTTGACAAGATACTATTTTTTGCAATGTCAAAAATAAGGACTGGCAACAGAGAGTGCATTTTCATGTACTCAATAATTCGATCATAATCAGATTTCTGAAGTTATCTGATTATTCAAATGGTCATGCAAACAGCACAATCCAATTTCTTAGATTGGAGTAAGGTCTAGATATCCGATTAAGAAATCTGATAAAGAGAGCTGGACTTTAGCTCAGTAATCAGATTTCTCAGTGCATGTAAACTCTTACTCTGATTTCTTTCGGATTTCTCATTCTGAGCATGTGCGAACAGTCCAGTCGCGTACCAGAAACGGAGGTACGTTGCTGCAAGACGCAGCAAAACACTTTTGGAGCAACGCTGAAACCGACTACGTGCTTGACGAAATGAAGGATTTAAATATTCTTCATCTTCTAAATAATGCATATTCATAGTTTCAGGCAAAGGGGCGCAATGTTTTTTTTTTAAAAAGCTGCGGCATGAAGTCCGATTGCTGCCTGACTCAGGTAGACCCGGAGTTTTCCCATTATCTGACTACTCAAGCGCATGTAAACCTGTTGATCGGACTGCAGACAAAACCTGACTTTCTGCAGTTATCAGATTATTAAGTGCTTGTAAACACACTTGATGTTTTTTTAATGCACTAGCCATGAGCTAATATGCGCTTATGAAGAGTGGGCTTTCCTCTCTGCTCTCCAAAAGGAAGCAATATTTTTAGGCAGGGGCGCTGGTGGGGGGTCTGCCCTCAGGGTGAGCTCGCATGTTTAATTTATTTATACTTCATACGAAGTAGAAGGTATTAAAATGAGTACTTTATTTAGTCCAGTCTGTTGAATAGCTTGAGCAGCAGCATATCAACAGTAAAACAGTCCACTGCAGCTGCGTTTTATACGGTCTTTAGCTTACATTTTTCTTTTTTTAGCACTTTAGCTGCTTTAATGAAATTCTTTAATGGAAATCACATAAATAATGATCAATATCCTTCGGTAATAAAATTCTGCTTCTGAGTTTTATGGCTATCTCTTCTCTTTAAATGAACACTAAAGTGACTTGCATACTTACAGCACCCCGTGCTGGAGAAACAGATTGCTGAATGGGAGTTTCAAAGCCACGTCCAGAAAATATAAAAAAAGATGTGTTATGTATTAACAAATCAGAGAAAGAAAGGAAGAGAAAGAGAGGCAGAGATGATTTTCTTTACCTTTTATGAAGTCTGAGGCACAAAAATGTATGTGATAAATGTGTGTGTGTGGGGGGTGTGGGGGGGGGGTCACCTTCTGTGTCACTTTGGGCCGGTCTGGCAGGCTGCCAGCAGCTTGTAGAGAGACAGGCCTCTCAAATCCCTCACTGCTTCAGAGATAACACTCACTCTACTCTTATCTCTCTCTCTCGCTCTCTCTCTCTCTCATGCTGTCACTCTGAAAGCTCTTTAGTGTCGGGAGGGGGGTTCGATCTGACTCTGCATGGCTGTGCTGTGCCTCATGCTCTCTCTCTCTCTCTCTCTCTCTCTCTCATCTCTGTGCCTCCTCTTTCTACTTCTCCCTCTTTCTCTCTTCTTCCTTCATTGTTTCTCTCTCTACCCCTAACTCTCTCCCTTTCTCCCTCTCCACCTCTCATCTTCACTCTCCCTATGCTTCACTGACTCTCTACAGGTCACTCTTTCTCTCTCCACACTGCATCCCTCTTCCCTTCTCTCCAGCTGTTTCTGTTCTCTCCCTTCACTTTTACATTCTCTCTCTCTCTCTCTCTCTCTCTCTACCCTTCACACACACCCTCTCTCCCTTTACTCTTTTTCTTTCCTTCTTTCTCTTTTCCTCGCTCTCTCTCTATCCTTCACTCTTTAAGTCACTGCCCTTCTCTCTCACTCTCTTACTACCCTTCACTTTCTCTCGCTCTCTCTCTTTCCATCACTCTCTCTTCCCTTCTCATTCTCTTCTTGCTCCCTTCTCTTCCTCCTTCACTTTCTTTCTCGGTGACTCTCTGTTTTTCTCTCCTGACTTCTATCACTCTCTCTCGGTTCACTGCTTCCTCCTCTCTCCTCAGCACCATTATCACTCTTCTTCTGTTAGACTCGCACCAGCTCCTCTGTCTCTCACACACACACACACACACACACACACACACACACACACACACACACACACACACACACACACTATCTCTCTTACCCCAATGCTGCTGATCTCTGAGCCCAGCACTGCTCTCTCAGTTGACGATGACTCTGAGCGCGTTTTGGACAGCTTGACTCGTTCTGCCACCTGCATAAAAACAAACAAGCTTATCTTTAATATACTTGTTATAATAAACAAATTATTATTATTATTATTATTATTATTATTATTATTATTATTATTTAAATTCTGAAAGTGCCATATTTGACATTTTCATCAGCCAAAGCAGATTTACCATGACTGTCTTCTATCAGAACACTTATTACTGTATTCACAGATTTTTACAAACTGAGTAGGGAAAACATTACAGTACTTTCATTTTCACAATACACGGTATAGGACTGGGACCACTCATCAAAAATTATCGTTAACAGTCATGAAATCAATAAGCAGAAAAGATCGATCTGGTGCGCTGCTACACAGGAAAAACAGCATTTTGATTTTGACAAATTTAACACAACGCAACATTCAAATTGACTCCAGCAAGATTTCTGTAACACTGAAATTGTGGGAAGATGAAGAGGAAAAAGAAATGAAGGGTTTCATTCCAAAATGCATTTTTTATATGTTGTTGGGAGTGAGCTTTACACATACAAGAAACAACAATGCTACATTAGGGTTAATACCACCCTAATAGAGAAATCAAAATGTGTTTTGCAATATGCATCAGCTGCGATTCTTTTAAAAAGATCCTTATATCGCTGCTGTCGGAACAAAACCTCGTATCTCCATATTTGCCGTTTTTCATTTTTTAAGATAATTTGAAAATGTCAGTTGCTTTATACACTGTGTGTAAATTTCTTGATGAATGGACCAAAAGAAATGGCCAGAAATTACCTTAAAAAAAGTCTGGTTCCATAGACTTACATTAAAAGTAAAGCATATTTTTCCTTCTCCTGTAAAGTTACCATTTTGAGGTTACGAGGTTGTTCCGACAGCAGCGATATGCAAAAATATTACAAAGTGTAATATTACTGAATACATAACTGTAAAATATGTATTGCTTTAAATAATTTCCTGCTTAATTTAAAACTGCTTGGCACCCTAACCATAACCACATGCATCACAATATTTAGTTTCTTTCTTAGTTGCTCTGACACTTGTGAGCATGTTAAAACAAAAAAACCAGCACCAGCAAAACACCAGTAGCACATTTAAATCAGAGAACAGAAAACGTGTGTTTTCAAATTAAATCTTTGCAAAAATAAACATTTAAGAAGAAACAGAAGAAAAAATCAGACAATTGGTAAACATAACATATAAACATGATATATATATATATATATATATATATATATATAAGATATTGACATAACAGGCTGATATCCAGTCAGCTACGTTCTACTCTGCAGTTTATACAGTTACTATCTACAGGTTGTTGTTGTTTACATGCTCTTTATAATTGGTTTAAATCTGTCTTTATGCTGTACACAGCTGTTCAGAAGTACTGATCATCCCCAGGATATTCTCAGAAAAGTGTTTCATGAAGTAATTTATCACAGTAATGATAACACATCAATACTGCATCAAGCCTGTGCTGTTATTGTAATGGATTCTATGAAGCTGAAGGCTAAGGACCGAGAGAGGGACAGAGTGAACGAGAATGAGGGATTAAAGTGGGGGAAAGAAGGAGAAATAGGAGAGAGTAAGAGAAGGGGGAGGTGTTGAGCAACATTACAGATATACAGTGTATGTGTGAGCAGATTCAAGGGCAAATCATGTACAGCACACAGCACATTCAACCTAAACCGACGTGTAAGTGATTAGACTGCTTTGTCCAAGTAACAACAGTGATGTGTACTGTATACATTCCTTTATCTCGAGGGATTTGTAACGAGCTGCATGTGAAATCAATCGTAAAGCAGATGTACAGAAGGTTCTCAAGCTTTAAAGCAGAGATCACCTTCAATAGCGCTTCATGTAATGTAGATACAGAGTGTGTAAAGGTGTAGATGCTACTGAGTCTATAAACTATCTAGGGTTGAGGTTAGAATTAGGCTTATGCTGCATTTACACTGCCCCAGTACATCATTGCACCGCAATGCATTCCCATTCATTTTGAAAGGGAAGCGCCGCTTCCGTTAGACAGAGCTGCGGAGTGCATGATGGGTCTTGTGCGTCAGATTTGGGGGATGTGGTGCATGGAACATTGAGTGGAGCTGAACTTCATGCAAATGAATCCGGTCAACATAATGCGTCTACCCAATCAGAAGGCAGAGTGATTCGTGTCTGCAGCTCAAGGTGTGAAAAACTGTTTTTTTTTTTTAAACATGGAAGACCAGCGGAGAAATCTAATATATTTAAACACAACTGTTTACCTCAAAAATTTAAAATCCGAGCAGGAAAACAGGCTGCTAATAAACCGAAATGGCTGATGTTGACTGCAGGTGGTAATCTATGACCTCAAACCTAATTTTTTCAAGTTTAACCATATTAATGTTTTGGAAAATATTATTTTAACGATGCAGACTACCTTGACTAAAATAGAAGCATTATTTTAATAAATGTCAGCTTAGCAAGACTACATTTCAATGGGATTTTGCAGGGAACTCCCTTGTAACACTCACATGCAGTCAACTAAAGAGGGAGGAGGACACGTTCAGAGCCGCCGATGGGCTGGAGCAACGTAAATGCACAGTTAGGCTTGGAATAAAGCCTGAAACCCTCTTTACCCGATAAAATTGCAGTAACACACAGCCTCAAGTGGCTTATTGCTTTTTTAAAATGGTGGCCAACAAGAAATATGATAAAATACCAAGTAATGTAGTTCCTTTAGAGTATGGTTATCGTTGCCAAGCAACCATGGACCGCTGAATGAGGAGAACGTTTGGTCAGTGTATACTGCAGTCATTTCATGAACCTTTTAACTTTTTGTCATATGACAATGAACATATGATAACACAGCACTGTTTAATGCAAAAACCTTTGCTTTAGAAGTACATTTTGGTCACCAAGTTAACACCAGTGGCGCCCCTCTTCTTACGCTGGGGCTGCATCTCTAATGGCTCCCTGCTCCCTACACAGTGAGCTACGTAGGAATTTATATACTGGATCCTGAAAACGGTGCTCTGTACATCTAACAAATATTCATTTGGGACTCAGCCGCATCCATGCTCGACAAATAGTGCACTACTTGGCTGTGGAGGCTAGAAATTCAACACTTCCAAAGTTAGGGAGTACAGAGCCATTTGGGATTCAGCCTGGGTTTGATGCTACTTCTGACTTAAACACGAACATTTGAAGCATGTTAGTCATTCAAGTGACATTCTTTAGACTTATACTGCCGTTTTACAGTGAATTATAAGTACTTTAATTCAAGCATGTGATATTAATGATGGAGTTGTTTGGGCTGTTGGCCTTCTTTTAGCCTGTTAGCTAGATGACAGTCTAGTTCTAGTTAAGAAAATAAGTTAGAAGCCCCTCAGTTTAAACAAAAAGTGGGTTCTTATTTCATCAGTATACTCGGTGGTCTATGCAATCAGCCTTAGAGTGAAAGATTATTCCATTAACAGCAGAGGGATTTTTCATGATGTGGCGTAGAGATACAGAGTTCATATGTGTGCGTATAATACGTATTTTACAACAGCTTTGAACGTGGCTCAGCCAATCAGATTTTAGGAATGGAACTATCAGTTTTATAATATTCTATTTTATATAATAGGTATGAGATATTCCACTTGCGTAAGGAAGGAGAAAGTAGAGTTTCCAAATCTTCAAAAAGATTATTAAGATTATTAAAAAATACTGAGAACATGAGCTCCTAACAAATAGAACTGTCCCCATCAGATAAACAGCACTTAAAGCGAGAGGAGAAAATCAAGCTGCTTCAGATCTGAAAACATCCACAGGTGTTTCTGTCCATCCTTCCACTGTGAGAAGACGACTCAGCACTGTGGGTCTGTGCTCCACTTTTTTGTTAATGTAATCGCAGCATAATGGCCATTTTGATTGGAAATTAAATATATAAATGGTGGCTACCTTGGCTACAGGGATGTCGTTGCTGCTGCTGCTTGTGCTGAGCTCGCCTGTGCTGGGATTAATGGGTCGGCCAGCGGGGGTCAAACGGCCTGGACTGGACTGACCTCCACCAGGCTGGACACTCTGGAGACGAGTCTGCAGCTCACGCACCTACACAGAGAGAGAGAGAGAGAGAGAGAGAGAGAGAGAGAGAGAGAGAGAGAGAGAGAGAGAGGGAGAGAGAGAGAGAGAGAGGGAGAGAGAGAGAGTGAGACAGAGGATAGTATAGGAAAAAGAAAGAAAGTGAGAGCAGAGGAGGGAGAAAGGAAAGAGAAAGAAGGATAGAAAGGAAAGAAGGGAGAGAAAGAGTGAAAAAGAGCAAGGCAGTGATAAGAAAGAGGGAGCAGCAAAGAGTATGAGAGTGATGGAGAGAGAACAAAAAGAACGAGCAAGGGAAAAAGGGAGAAGAGACAGACAAGGAGACAGAGAGTGAGAAAGAAAGAAGACAAGATGAAAGAAAAAGAGAGGGAGAGAGACACAGAGAGAGAGAAAAGACAGGAAGAAATCGTGATAGAGGCAGAGAAAGAAAAAGATGACAAGATGAAAGAAAGAAGGAAAGAGAAAAAGACAAAGAAAGAGAGAAAATAGACATAAAATGAAAGAGAGGGGGGAGTGTGAGAAAGAGAGACAGTGAAAAGACATAATATAAGACATGATATAGGTAAAAAGAGACAAAGTGAGAGCAGAGGAAGGAGAAAGAAGGAGAGAGGGAGAAAGGAAGGAGAAAGAGAGTTAGAAAGAGAAGAAGAGAGAGGAAAAATGAAAGAGCAAGGCAGTGATGAAAAAGAAGGAGCAACAAAGAGTAGGAGAGTGACGGAGAAAGGTGGATAGAGAAAAAGAGAGAGAGAGAGAAAGAGAGAGGGAGAGAGAAAAAGAGAGAGAAAGAGAGAGAGAGAAAGAGAGCGATTGAGAGAGGGAGAGAGAGAGAGAGAGAGAGAGAGAGAGAGAGAAAGAGAGAGAGAGAGTGAGAGAGGGGGCAGAGAGAGAGAGTTTAGACTGCATCCAGCTGATTTAAGTGTGAGTTGATTCAAGGTCACAGCATTTCCTGATTTCACACTGAACTTCACTGCACTCGTCTCATCTGGAAGTCAGTTAAATGAAGCCTCAGCGCAGCCTTTAAAAACCTCCACAGAAAGAGCATCACTGATAGCCTCGCTGACTGCATCACACAAAGCCTCAAACTCCTTTATGATCTGCGACACAGAGGGGAATCAAAGTGGTGCTGTCGGTTCGGCGTGTCAGCGATAACCCCCCGCTGAACACACACACACACACACACACACACACACACACACACACACACACACACAGTGTCTGGATCCTGTAACTCACTGCTGCTATCTCTCCACACAGAGGCCACATAGGAGGGGCAAACATCACAACAGCTACCAAAAAGGAGAGAGCAAGAGAGAGAGAGTGACAGAGTGATATGAGAGAGAGAGAGAGAGAGAGAGAGAGAGAGAGATGTAAAAAAGCTGAGCTCATAAAAAGACAGCACTCTGGCTTGTTAGAGGTTTTTGAGATGGTAAATGTGAGTGAGGCCAAAACAGCAGCTGTATTTAACCATTAGACTTTACATGCTTTGTATTGGCTGCCTCTTAGCGATGCTGAGAAAAGATTAGCAGACGGATTTCCTAAACAGGTCAACTTGTTTTGGTCATTTGCTGTAAATGTGGCTCTTCAGTCGGTCCTCTCCTCAACGTGGTGCTTCTTTGGACAGATCTACTGGACGTTTCTTGCCCCACACTTTCCTCAGCTGCTTTTTTTGGGACTATACCAGAGAAAACACTGTAGATGCACTGCTTCTCATTCAAACCTGAGAGAAAGGGATGGGCTACTGTACGTTTTAGATAAATATAGATTTCTAACATATTGACAACACTATAAAAAGGCTATTTCATATAAGTAGTATAAAAAAAACTAAAGATAACAGTTTAGACCCTATACCATTAGGCACAAACAAAAAGTGAAGTGATTTTAGCACATTAAGGTTACTTGTAGCCGAATCATCAGAGAAGTAAATCTTCTCTGGATCAAATTTAAACACAACAGAACGGTCATTTTAAAGAGTAGGCCAAACAAACAACGCACAAAGATTTTACTGCAGTACTCATTAACAGACCGGCATTAAACTGAATTGCGTGTATGTTTTGTCAATGAAAATACAAAGATCAGATTGGAATGGTATCTGCTGATCCTCAACACTGTAACAAGTATGTACTTAAATTACTATCTGCATAGTTAGTCACATAATACATTATTCTGATTCTGTACCAGCTCACATACATTTCAAAAAATCAAGTTAACGTGAAATGAAAACAGCTCCTTGGGCTGTATCTGCTGTAATCCAGTAGAGCAAGTAAAACGTCTAATGTGGTAAAACATTTTATCAAAACTGGGATTTTTCTCTGTCGAGAAAGCTGCATGCAAAGCAGCAGAGCTCTGTCGCCTCTGGGAGAACCTGGGAGAAACCAAACACAGACACCAGTGTTTTCAGTAAGGAAACATCAGCAGGTAACACAGCAGTTTACTGCACAGCGTTCTGACCTACTGTGGTGTTTGTCAGAGCGAAACCCAATTAGATTCAGCTACCAGCAAAACTAGCATTTATTCGCTAGCCTGCTGGATTACACTGTATGGATAATTCTACCAAACTGGTTCAAAGTTGGAGCTGAAACCCCATTTTGGACTTGAACTTTAGACTAAAATCTTTTTGCTTTAAATGACTTAATACTTTAATTATGTTTATTTTATTGAAATAAATGACTGAATATTACATTTTGTCACTACCAAATGCCGGGGTGTGGCTAACATACACGGCAACATGTTGACTTTATTCAAATTCAAAAGCTAAATTAAAAAAAGGCCTTTCCTCACTGTGGCGCTTCAGCTCTGCCAAAATGAAAAACGCAACTGCAATTCTGTTGCACTGTCAATGAGGTTTCCTGTCAATCAAACACTGTGGATGGGACGCAGGGAGGGGCTGTTTAGAGCGGAATGTGTTTTAAGAGGAAGTGACGAAGAGGTCTAAACTTTGGCGGTACTGGCACAAAACTAGATGCTTGTTTACTTGTATACTAAGCTAGCAACAGCACTAGTGCTCGTTACAGACACAAACTCTCTGAGTCAGTCAGGAATCACTTCCACACAAAACAACCGGAAATCACTTTGGACAGAATTCTCCTCGGTTTGGTTAGCAAGTGTTAAAATGGCACTAGCAGCGATTGCTAACGCACCAGTACAGCCAAAGTTTTCATCACTTCCTTTTAAAACACGCCCCACACCAAAAATTCCACCCTGACGTCCCACCCACCGTGTTTGATTGACAGGAAGCCTCATTGACAGTGAAAATGCAACTGCAAACAGGAATTGCAATTGCACTTTTTCATTTTGGCAGCGCTGGAGTGTGACAATGAGGAAGTGCAATTGCAAATTGCCGACTGTTTTTACATTTTTAATATGTCAGAGTAAATAAAGACACTGAATTGTCATCAGGAACATGAAAATGAAATGTCAAAAGCACTTTGCTTTTCCACATTAACTGTAAGAGCCATTATACACAGAAATGCAAATAAACATTTTGCATTTAAATTTGAATTATGTCTAAAATGACACTCACACAGCAAATGCAACTGTGAATAAACAACTGAATTGGCATTTTTTTCTAATTTGCATTTGAATTTGAATAAATATGCTGCCATAAAAATAAGGTTCCACCCATAGACTAAAACTCTTTAGAACTAAAACCAGGGCCCGTGTTACAGAAACTTCCTATCTTTTAGTCTTAACTTAAGATCTGGCAGGTCAAGATAAGATTTTTCACAAATTTGTATTATTAAGCAAATCTTACCTTAATTTAAGAATCTTATCTTTTCTTACAGCATCTTATTTCAAATTAAGAAATCTTAACTTAATCGATCGAAGTCGACAATCAACTGTCATGTCTGTTACCTAGCAACCAACCATACGCACAGAGCTGAAACGTAAACACGCAATCAAAGCAATCAAGTTGTTAGCCAGGTCAAATAAAACTGAAGCGCGATAAACATGAAGTTAAGAATATCGTGTCAGCGCTTTGTGCTGATTATCAGAGCGTCGCTGTTCCTCAGTTTCAGTTTCATTTCCCAAACACTTCAGCCGAGCGCGCTAACATTGTTCCTCCTAATAAACAGGCACCCGTTCAGCTCTGTCTCCTCATTATTCACAACCATCACTGTAATATTTTATCTGACGAGTTTAATCAACATTAACACACAAAGGTAATAGAGAGGACAGTGGAGATCGAGTCTGCAGCACAATCAAGTCAAAGCACCGTTTTCAGTGTAGATAAATGTAGCGTCATTATGCCAGTTATAGTGAACTATGCTGTCTGTCACTGCATAAAACAATAGAAACAGACGGTTAAAACAGAAGTTAAGAAGCTCTGAGGCTGTTTTAAAATTAGGACAGAATTTAGGAAATTCAGTCTAGTTAGGATGTTTCTGTAATACTGTTTTCTTATCTGGAGTTAATGATAAGATTATGAAGTTAGGAGCTGTTGTTCTATAATAGCTTCTGTCCTAAATTCAGTCCTAACTAAAGTTGTCATGGTGACTAAACAGATTAACTGTGGCATTAAGAGTTAATAGTGTTGCAGTAACACGTTTGCTCATTCATAAAGAACAATTACTGGCATGTTTTTCTGCTCGTGCCATGTGAGGTGTAGCTGTGCTTTTTCTCAATTCAAACATGCTGGTACTGATTTATAACCATACCATTCCACAAAAATAACGTCTGAACCGCTACTCTGCTGATACTGGCCAACAGGTAGTAACAAGCAACAGTCCTCTCACAGCTACAGAAACCTTCCCTACACTGGATTCACTGACATTTAACACCACACATACAGGCCTCTACCTGCTCTCTCTCTGACACACATGTCTAAAGCCTCATTTACCTCTACAGTCCACTCACGCCTTCTCTCTGCTGTGCCTTGCAGTGTGTGTCCATGTGTGTAGCTTCTCTCCAAACCAGTGAAACACTGTGCTTTAAAGGGTCCACATCCCACATTTCTAAGGCATCTCTGCTCTTTTAGATTCAGTGGCCACCGGGGATGTAACCGTCTGAGGTGG